GCACAAGGGACGCTAGCTCTTTAGAGCAGTGCCCATTATAGTATTTGTAGAAAAGAGAAAGAGAAGCAACATTACGACGATGTGACAAAGGTTGGAGATTGGCTGCCAGAGCAGGTCCAACTATGTTTACAATTCGTTTTTGCACCTTGTCTAAAAGAGAAAGAGCATCATTAGAAGATCCGCTCCAGATGTGGCAACAGTATTCCATACAGGGACGGATTTGAGATTTATAGAGATAGAGAATAGAATCTGGAGTAAGAAAGTGTCGAGCTCGATAAAGAGATGCAACCTTAGCAGATGCTAATTTTGCAATGGATTTGATATACGGTTTAAAAGAAAGATCAGAAGTAAGAGTTAATCCTAGAAGATGAATGGTAGATGACTCATCTAGTACATTACCATTCATAAATATAGGAAGATCTAAATTATTACGATAACGATTGGCCGAATAAAATTGAATTTTATCTGAATTAAAGTTCACCAGCCACTGTGAGCCCCATGCTGTAGCAGAAGTGAGATCCTTTTCAAGCTCAGATACCCCCTCCAAGCAATCAGAGAGTGTAGGCTTCTTATCGTGACAAGAGTAAATGGTAGTGTCGTCAGCGAATAATGCCACCTTAGATGTGAGAATATCTGGAAGATCGTTAATGTAAATTAAAAAGAGTATAGGGCCAAGGATTGAACCTTGAGGAACCCCTGAAGTTACAGGATGTGAAGAAGAGTGTTGTCCATCGAGGACAACTTTTATACTACGATTGGAAAGAAAGGACTCAATAATCTTAAAGACGTTACCAGCTACACCATAAGAAGAAAGCTTATGGAGAAGACCAGCATGCCAAACTTTATCAAAAGCTTTAGAAATGTCAAGTGCGATAGCCTTAACCTCTCCACCTCTATCTAATGCACGGTAAAACCTATCGGTTATTACTGTTAGCACATCAGCTGTAGAACGAGAAGATCGAAATCCATATTGATGATCAGAAAGTAAGTTATTTGATTCAAGATGAGAGATTAAGTGTTTGTTGATTAAAGATTCAAAAACCTTGCTTATGACAGGAAGAAGACTAATGGGACGGTAGTTAGATGAATCAGATCGCTCTCCGGAATTTTTGAAAATAGGGATAACAGATGCTGCTTTCCAGCATGATGGAAAACAAGACTCTGATAAGCACTTGTTAAATAGTTTAGAGAGTATGGATGAAAGCTCAGGAGAACACCTCTGCAAGACTACAACAGGAATGTTGTCAGGACCACAAGCTGTTGAAGAGTCTAAGCAGGAAATTACTTTAGATACAGAAGCTGAAGTGATGCGAATGTCAAGCAAGGGATCAACCTGTTTGACGGCTATGTCAGGTAAAATGCAACTAGTGGAATCAAGAGATGATATTGATGAAAAGTTCTTAGCAAACAATTCAGCTTTGTCTTTAAGTGAGGTGACAAGGTCTGAACCATACAAGAGAGAAGGAATAACAGATTTGCCCTTATTATTGATACTGTTAAAGATTCTCCAGAAGTCTTGAGAGCCTAATTTTTGTGATGAGATACGAGATTTAATGACCTGGGAATAGCGAGCTTTGGCGTCAGACAAAACCTTTTTACAATGGTTTCTGGCGATAGTGAACAGATGTCTGTTTTCTGGAGAATTGTTTTGCTGATAGATATGGAAGTAACGGTTTCAATTAGAAATTGCTGCAGCGCAATGTGAGGAAAACCAAGGAGAAGAGTGAGGCTTGACCTGGAATCGTCGAGAGGGAATAAAGGATTCCATGCCAGCCTGAATCCACGAAGTTATGTAAGAAGCACATTTGTCAACAGGGAGACAAAAGATTTCTACCCAGGGGCCATCATGAAGAAAGTCAAGAAAAGAGTCCCAGTCAGCTTTAAGTTGTATGTGGTACGATGATAGGGGGATTCTGATGAAGTAGAAGAATTTGATAATAGTTTTAGAGAGATCAAACCGTGATCAGAAGTACCTAAGGGTGAATGTGGAGAAATTGAGCACTGACTAGGATCCAAAACAAGACATAAGTCGAGTAGAGAAGGTAAATGATTAGGGTTGTCTGGAAAACGAGTTGGAAAGTTGACTATTTGAGTTAGAGATTGAGAAAGGCAAAAGTTGAGGGCCTTAACGCCAGCAGAGTCACTGACACTAGAGCCAAGCCAATCGGTGTGGTGGGCATTAAAGTCACCAACAACGACGATATTGGCCGATGGATAAAGAGAGAGGGCTTGGTCAATTTGATCAGAAATAACATCAAGAATAGTGCAATCTTGGGATGAAGGAGAGCGATATAGAACAAAGAGAAAGGCGATAGAGTGAAGTTGTGCTAAACGAAAGCACATAAATGAATAGTCTGTAGATTCAAACCTAGTTTCACGACAAATGGGTGAGTTCTTACGAATGTAGATGCCCAGACCAAGCATGTGATTATTGGAGTCTTTACGAATTAAAGGAAGATAACCATCAACACTAAGATCACTAGATGGGACAGCCGAACTCAAATTAGTCTCACAAAGAGCAAGTAGGTCTGGTGAACTTTGCAAGAGATAAGACTCAACAGAAGAAAAGTTACTTCGAAGACCACGAATATTAGTAAATGATAGGTTTAGAGAACTTGGTGATGACGATGGTTTTTTGTGTTTTTTAGTTTTAGGTACTTTAGTCATTTTAAATTTATAAAGAACTTGACTCAAGTATAGATAGTACTCAGTACACTATTTAACAACTAAGCAATAGCCTCATTACTATTAATAAACCCTAAGCCGTAACAAAGGGCTCCAAATGTGGCCTCTGCAATGCACACCAAAAGTACAAACAGGGACACCATCCATGCGCAACATGGCACTGTTAGTACTCTGATATTTTTCGGCTGTTGATGGAATCAGCCTCTCTGAGAGCTACCACAGAGTTCGGGAAACCTGACTACCAGCCGGCCTCAGAACCATAAAACTGAGTTTTAGAGCTGTACCCTCATAAGGAGATAATAGAATGAGTTGCCCAGTCATAAAAATAGAGACACAAGCAATACCCACGCATTGAGTCAAGAAGATCCAGCGTTCAACATCCTAAACTGGAAACAATGTATTAAAAATACATCTGCGCCAGCCTAATAGATGAGGAAGGGGTGCGAGGCTGGTCAACAGATAGAATCTGTTTACCCCTTAAGTCTTTGCCTAGGAGGCCTTCTACAAGACAGCAGCTGGATGCATGTAACATCTGCCCAAGATGAGTATTTTTATCGAGACACCATCTCTAGCCTTTACTCAACCAAGAGCCCCAAGGCAGGGGGTGTTTTAATTCGGAGTTAACTTCTCCTAGCCTTTGCCTAAAAAAGCGTATCCTACAAGGCAGCAGGACATGGAGCAGGTTGTACTGGGTTACATGTTACCAGTAGCAGGAAAACCTGACCTGACATGTAATTCGATCAAAGTATTGGTTTGCTAGAGGAAGAAAACGAATTTTATCCCTTATAAAGCGTTGCATCGTGTGCAAGAAAGTACAAGGTAAAACCTTTAAAGGTCCTGAACCACCTGTTCTTCCAGAGTACCGTGTAAACAGTGATTTTGCTTTTGCCAATACAGGAGTTGACTTTGTTGGACCATTTTTCATTAAAGATATATATTCAGAAACCAGCACATTACACAAAGCTTATTTGGTTTTATTTACATGTGCAGCTACAAGGAATGTACACCTAGAATTGACCCCAAGAATGGATGTCCTTCAGTTATTTGTGCACTAAAATGATTTTTTGCAAGAAGAGGTTATGTAAAAATGTTTGTTAGCGATAATTTTTCTACGTTCAAATCAAAGGAACTATCTAGATTTTTATGTACCAAATTTATTAATTGGAAATTTATTTTACCGCTTTCCCCATGGTGGGGAGGTTTTTAGGAGAGATTAATAGGTATAGTTAAAAGAGCGTTAAGGAAAACACTGGGGAAAGCTTGGCTGACATTTGATCAAATGAATGCAGAGTTAGCAGAAGTAGAAATGATTTTAAACAGCCGACCTTTGTGTTATGTGTCTGACGAATATGATGTGGAGCCATTGACTCCATCTCATTTAATTGTTGGCAGAAGGCTTTCTAGTCAAGTAGGATCAGTTAATACAGAAGATCCAGACTCAGTTAAAATCAGTGCACTGGAGCAATTTGACCATTTAAAGACCTCGATTCAGCATTTTAAAACAAGGAATACTTAAATGAACTACGAGAACACCACGTTTACAATCGTTGGAAATACGATGTTATAAATAACATTCAAGTAAATGATATGGTTTTGATTAAAGACGATGATAAATTGCCTCAAAGCCGTTGGAAAAAGGGTGTTGTTATCAAAAAAATAACAAGAAGCGATAGGAAGGTTCAAGTAGCTGTGCTACGCGTAATTGGAAAAGATGGTAATGCTAAAAATTTAAAACGTGATGTAAAGCGATTGGTTCCCCTGAAACTTCAACTGAGAATTGTACCTCCAGCCGATTTACAGGAGAAACGGGTGTCCGCAAAAACGGCAGAATTGAAGATGAAACTACACAATTGTTAGAGATGCCATCTCTAAGATGGGGAGTGTAGAAACTAGTTTAAAAGGACTGGGTCCTAGTAACCATTTTTAGACTTAACGCGCAAGCATGTTTTTTCTTATCTTGTTAAGTTTCTAGAAAGCATAATGGCGCTCTAGTTTTGTTTATTATTAAAATATATTATCCTCTCTTATCTGTCTTTTGATTTACTTATTAGAGTCCATTGTGGATTCTAAAATGCCATGGCGCAGTTGTTAGAGTACATGTTTTAGAATCAAGTGATCGAAGTTTTGGAGTGACCTTTGGACCATGAGCAAAAATATAAAAAAATATAAATATATAGAGAGACACACACACACATACTAATATAACATACAATATACTAATCTTCTCAAAGTGTAATCTTTTGTTGTTTTTTTTATTTTATTTTTAAAATGTTTGTTCTATTTAATCTTCTAGAAAGTTTTTTTTATCTATTTAGAAATAAATTATGAATATTACAGAAACTGCTGTTATCACGGGTATTACTTTTTCAAGTTATCTCTTAAATTAGAAGGTACTATTTAATTTTATATATTATTTAAAATAAAAAATATAAATATATAACCTAATCTTTTTTTTTTTTTTTTTTTTTTTTTTTTTTGTCGTTAAAAATAAATTCGTTTATATAAATTTTTAATTTATATAAACTAATATATTTTTATTTTAATTTATAGAAACTAATTAATTTTTATTTTCTACTCAAGTATTATTTCCTAAAATCTAAATATCTTAGAGCTTCTTCTCAGCCTAAAATAATTTGTCAATTACACACAATTTTGCAAAAAAAATAATTTAATTTTTATCATAAAATTCTTTTTTTCCATTTTAACCATCAAAATGTGATAGAGTAAAGAGTTAAGTTTAAAAAAAAAGTGGAAATTTATACTTTACATGGTTTGGGCTTTTCTAATCAAAATATGACATGTTGGCATATTAGACATGACATTGGCATAAAACTTTAATATGCCAACATGTCATTGGCATGACATGTTGGCAATTAGAATATTGTGTACAAAAAACAATTGAATGAAAAGATGAAACTGGATTGTTATTTTGAGGGTAAATGGTCTGGAAGACCACCGCAAGAAAGGAAGACAACATAGTTATGAGTTCCATTCTAAATCCTTGATGGACAGCACCAGAAATCACCACTGGTTTCAATGAACACCATGTAACAAAAATCAGAGCCACAACAATTTAACAACATTTTTTAGGTGTTTTTTCTCAGAGGTTGTGTAGCAAGTAAGTCTGACCAAAGCTCATAAAAAGAAACGATTGAATCAGGCTAAAGAACACAAAAATTAGACACCAGATAACTTGATTAATGTTCTTTGGTTAGATGAATCAATATTTGAAATTTTTTTCAATAAACATCAGTCCTTTGATATCGTTGATCTAGAGAAAGGATACTTGGATGATTGCATACTGAAAATGGTAAAGATACCTATGGGCATCACTACAAAATATTTCAAACGCTGTTGTGGCCAATATTTACAACTGCCATGTAACAGATTACCTCGTATTTGCCAGGCTAAATCTAGAGATCATATTGATGAAAATGTTTCGTTTAAAGAACTTTCGTTTAAAGAAAATTTTGAGTTTTTTTGAGAAAATTTTGAGTTTTTCTTATGGTAATAAAATAAATTGTAAGTGAATAAAATTGTTTGTTTCTGTAATTGTTGTCTTATTAAAATCCCAAAAAGTTTATCATAAAATGTAACTTTTTACTAAGTGCAATTAAACTTATAGACAGTATATGTTATCTTACTATTACCTAAGTTTACATAAAAAACAGAAAATCCTTTTAAATTAATTTACTCTAATTTATGTAACCATCATTAGCCCCACCTTTTACATCTTCTTAGTATTTTTCATTACAAGTTTTCTTGTTTGTTGAAGTCAATTTTATGTCACTCACTAATAAATCTTTTTACCTATTTTTTGCCCCATGTTATTATTTTGACATATATTGTAAATTCATCCGACAATTTAATAGAAGAGAAATCTGTTAATAGATAGATATTTGATAATTAGAGTAGCTAAATTATTTTACTATTTGATTTTTCTTTAACTTACTCAAATAATTTCTACAAAGTTTTAAAGAAGACTTTAAGTTGTTATCTTCTTTAAAATTGAATTACCCCAATGATTTGACTTTCTAAGGTTATGACAAGATTTTATAAAATAATTAAACACATTTATTTCATTATTATTACTTTTACAATGTTATATATATTATTTCCATTAAAACAGCTCCATACCATAACACTGCCTCCATCATGTCTGCAACACATAATTTTTTATTATATGTTCTTTGACTTTGCTTCAACAAACAATCTTATCTTGGAACCAAAGATTTAAAACTTTATCTTGTCCAAAAAATTTTTTGTCATTTTTTTGTTTGCTTACTCTAGTTGTTTTTTTTATTATTTTTTTTTATTATTTTTTATTATTTTAGTTTATAGCGGATAATAACCTACTTCTTTTACTGGGGCCAAAGTTTATAGCGGATAACCTACTTCTTTTACTGGGGCCAAAGTTTATAGCAGATAATAACCTACTTCTTTTACTGGGGTCAAAGTTTATAGCGGATAATAACCTACTTCTTTTACTAGTAGTTACAATTCTTCTGTCTTCAGTGGCAGGTGTAATTTAATGGCGTCTTGATTGTTTCTATTTGAGCACATTTACAGTCTCTTCTTTTTTGTTTTATTTACTCATGTTTTATTATAATGCTGTAAAATTTTAAACTATAATGCAGTTAAAACTTTTTTATCTTTATTTATTATTTTTTTGAAGAAGTTAGAGGAGCAATCTTGTATGAAAATATCTTATATATTTTATATAATAAATGTATGAAATTTTTTGTAATATTCCAAACTTAATTATTGTTTAATTATTAAGTGTGAGACCAAAGTTCGCTTGAATATTTAACGGCTCCCTATTATTAAAAAAAAAAAAATTTTAATTATATTTTGTTGGGTGTCAAATAAAGCAAAATTACATAAAAGTTTTTAAAATAGTTTTCATTTTATAAAAAAACATTGAGAAATAAAAATTTTATACAAAAAATCTTGTATATTTTATAATTTTTAGATAAAAAATCATTTTCTTTGCAGTAAAGTTTGAAAAGATTATTTAATAAATAAAAACTATTTTTGAGCTTTTTATATAATTTTGCTTTGTTTGAGACCCAACATTTTTTAAACATCATAGTGGACACTAAGGTGAAGCAATTTTCAAATATTGTTCTATCAGTTTTAACAAGAAAGTAAAAAAATATTTTTGGATTCAGATTTCGAATATAAAAGAATGGAAGGAAGTAGTCACATGGCAGCATTCACTATCTCCAGTGTCAAGTATCTGAAAACCATGTATCAGCATCAAATATCTGAAAACCATGTTTGTATACACTGATCAAGATTTGATGATGCGAGCCAGTCTAAAGTTTGGGTGCATTCACATGTCATTAAAACTTGATAATTATACTGACATCAAAAACGAAAAAACATAAAAAACATGATTGAACATACGAAAAAACATGATGAGCATTTGAAACATGATATACCTGATTGACAAGAGAGCAATCAGAAAGAACAAAACAAGAAGATTGTATCAAGTGGATTCATCAACGCTCATCATGCCAATGGTAGTTGTATTTTGTATTTTGACCAGACCTGGCATCTTCACATTATGCCATCGCATGACATCAGTTTTGTTAAAAAAGTTGACATTTTGCTAGTTGTGCCCTAGTGTCGACTTATTAAAGACTTTAAGGCTGTTTTAAAATTTAAAGTGTGTGAAGGTAACTGGCAAGCAAAAGGTGTGAAGCAGTTTTCAACCAGAATAAAGCTTTGTCTGAAATAAATTGACCTTGACGTTGTGTTTTCATTTTTTGAATCAACTCATCTTAGAGTTGACTGATTCCGAATAAACAAGCTGGTTGAAGACAAATTTAATTGAAATAAGTAAAAACTGAAAACTGCTATTTTTATTTATTCTCTAGCTTAAAAGATTATCTGCTCTTAAAAGTCCGGATTTTTAGTAAAGTAAACAACATAAAAACAACAGATGATCAATATCTCCCTAAAGTATGAACACTAATCATATAGCTTCTCCCAAACTATAGTGTGGAGCTACATTTAACTTGTCCTGATAATGACACCAATAATGTCTTTACCTTTTTTTGTATTAAATGCTTTTTTATCCGATGTTTCAATAAGAGTGAAGGTGGCATGCAAGAATTGAAAAATTTAATATCAAACATTCTGAATATGAGCACCATTTTTATGCCCACAACTTGCTCCATCATAACCCTGACCCCGATAGCCTATTTTCAAAAAAAAAATTTAATTATGAGTTTTTAAAAAAACTATTTTTTGATAAACTTATGATAAATAAGTTTATTCTCTATATTTCAAATTAATGTAATGCTTTGCGTTTTTTTAGTGATTCGTAGATTTTATCAAATTAAAAAGGTAATTTACTTGAAGTACATGGAATAGTTAATAAATCATAGACATAATTGGTTGGTTAAAATTTAAACTATTGCTTGTGAAATTTAAAGACATACTTAACAGTAACTTTAAATAACAAAAAAAAAATATCAAGTCAATTAAAAGTTATTAATTAATTTAAAGCGTTAATACAACTATTAAAAAAGGTTAAAAACTTATTAAAAATTTAGCTTGTTACAATTACAAGTAATTAGTTGTTTGTCTATATTTAAAAATATATTCCAGAAGTAGTTCTATACCTTTATTCATGTAAATTATTAAAATTATTCATGTAAATGCAATACATATATTAGATGTATAATATATGTATTGATTAATATTATTAATATTGATTAATATTATTATATTATTAATATATGTATTTTGCTAAAATATGCATAGATATTAATATGAGTACACATAATGCAAGTCCTTTATGAATGTTAATTATAAAAAAGCGTTACATTTTTTTGTTACGATATGAACAACATAGAACAACATAGAACAACATATTTAACATAGAAAATCATAAAAACATAAAATAATTTAAAATAAAAAAGTTCAACGAAATTGTTCAACAGTTTTTACTTGAGCTATAAAAGTTATGTAAATATATAAAATTATTTCTTTATAGTTTGTCATTTCTTATAAGAAGTAAATATATAAAATTATTTCTTTATAGTTTGTCATTTCTTATAAGAAGTAAATATATAAAATTATTTCTTTATAGTTTGTCATTTCTTATAAGAAGTAAATATATAAAATTATTTCTTTATAGTTTGTCATTTCTTATAAGAAGTAAATATATAAAATTATTTCTTTATAGTTTGTCATTTCTTATGAGAAGTAAATATATAAAATTATTTCTTTATAGTTTGTCATTTCTTATGAGAAGTAAATATATAAAATTATTTCTTTATAGTTTGTCATTTCTTATGAGAAGTAAATATATAAAATTATTTCTTTATAGTTTGTCATTTCTTATAAGAAGTAAATATATAAAATTATTTCTTTATAGTTTGTCATTTCTTATAAGAAGTAAATATATAAAATTATTTCTTTATAGTTTGTCATTTCTTATAAGAAGTAAATATATAAAATTATTTCTTTATAGTTTGTCATTTCTTATAAGAAGTAAATATATAAAATTATTTCTTTATAGTTTGTCATTTCTTATAAGAAGTAAATATATAAAATTATTTCTTTATAGTTTGTCATTTCTTATAAGAAGTAAATATATAAAATTATTTCTTTATAGTTTGTCATTTCTTATAAGAAGTAAATATATAAAATTATTTCTTTATAGTTTGTCATTTCTTATAAGAAGTAAATATATAAAATTATTTCTTTATAGTTTGTCATTTCTTATAAGAAGTAAATATATAAAATTATTTCTTTATAGTTTGTCATTTCTTATAAGAAGTAAATATATAAAATTATTTCTTTATAGTTTGTCATTTCTTATGAGAAGTAAATATATAAAATTATTTCTTTATAGTTTGTCATTTCTTATGAGAAGTAAATATATAAAATTATTTCTTTATAGTTTGTCATTTCTTATGAGAAGTAAATATATAAAATTATTTCTTTATAGTTTGTCATTTCTTATAAGAAGTAAATATATAAAATTATTTCTTTATAGTTTGTCATTTCTTATAAGAAGTAAATATATAAAATTATTTCTTTATAGTTTGTCATTTCTTATAAGAAGTAAATATATAAAATTATTTCTTTATAGTTTGTCATTTCTTATAAGAAGTAAATATATAAAATTATTTCTTTATAGTTTGTCATTTCTTATAAGAAGTAAATATATAAAATTATTTCTTTATAGTTTGTCATTTCTTATAAGAAGTAAATATATAAAATTATTTCTTTATAGTTTGTCATTTCTTATAAGAAGTAAATATATAAAATTATTTCTTTATAGTTTGTCATTTCTTATAAGAAGTAAATATATAAAATTATTTCTTTATAGTTTGTCATTTCTTATAAGAAGTAAATATATAAAATTATTTCTTTATAGTTTGTCATTTCTTATAAGAAGTGAAAAATTATCAGATGAATAATAGTCATAATAATTTTTATTTACAAAGGTTTGATCAAGTTGCTTCAAAAAATTATTTCCCAAATTTTAACTAGATTACTATTTAAAAAATACCTTTCCGTGACGTTTTATTACAAAAATAGAGGCCCATACTACTAGGTATAAGGGCCATCGTGAGGTACTAAAAAGGTTGACAAGAATTGACAATGGGGTGGGGGTGTTGTGACCAAAATGATGTCAATTTTAGAAAAGAAAAATTTAAGTTTATACGAGCAGATTTTAAAAGTATTTACATCTACAATGTGGTATAGAAATGGCATATTTGCTTTGTGGTGAATTCGGTGTAAGTTTCCCAGAGACATAAAATAAATTAAAAATTTGCCAACGTTTTATTATTGTATTACTATTTGACTGAAAATCTAATTTTTTTACAAATATCAACAATTTGTATAAATTTAACAATCGTTATTCGATCCCTAGCGGATTTTAAAATGTGCTTCAAAGCAAACACATAAAATCATTTGCCATTTTTTTAAATACAATTGTCATTATTATCGAAGATCGATTCAACAACTCAGGGGAAGATAATGAGTGATTGAATTTATATTATAGATATAGAATAAATTTTGATTATTTGTTTATTATTTGATGAAGTATCAACTGTTTTATATAACTTGCTGTTTTATACTGTTTTATATAACTTTATATAACTATTTAAATGTATAATTTAACCAGAAAAAAATCAATGGTATTTGCACATATTTTTTATGTTACTTTAGGGGGGGTGCAAAAACTGACATCATATATAAGGAGGGGGTTGGCCAAAAATTGACAGAGTTTGACAAAGGGGGGAGAGGAGGTCGAAAATTTGAAAAAAATCACTGACATCATTTATGGACAGCACCATAATACTATTTAAAATAAAACTCAGGATTGATAATAAATCTCGATGTTTTGTATGTCATTTTTAGCGCGAGCACTTTGTAACTTAGAAAACCACTGTGCTAGTTTTACGCGGATCTTTTAGAGTTCGAATTCTGAATTTTATATAAGGTTATATTGTATGATAGTAATCATCAATTACGTATAAATATAACTAGATGCATGGCTCGCAGTTTTTTGCGTATGACTTAGTGAAGCCAGCGTTCATTTTGCGGTACGGCAAAAACATCCCGGTGGGAAATGAGCTAGCGACTAGCTAGCTCTATTGCGATTTTTTTTTCTTGTTTTATTTTTTGCAAATGTCTTTAAAATTTTTAAAAATTCGATTTTTAGTATTGAGTCTATTATAATTATGAAAATAATTGAACTTTAAACGTTGCGATTTTGTAGCAATGTGTCGCTAGCTATATGTCGTAGCTTTGTAGCTAGCTACAAAATATCTACAAACCTATAGCTGGTTGATAGCTACATATCAAAATTTTTTAGACAACGATTTTATTACGATATGACGCTAGGTACAATAGCCAGTGGATCTTCAGCTTATTAAGCTAGCTGTCCTCGTAGCCAAATTGTTGTTTTTATCTTTAAAAACAACGATAGCTTTTCCCTAATTTAAAAAAGCTAATGATCCTCGTGGCCAAATCGCTGTCTTTATCGTAGCTAGCTATTCGCTAGCCGATTTCCCACCGGTATGAGACGCGACTATAAAAACATAGGGAATTATTTATCAAAGTAATAATTAGTCATGAAATTTTGATTTTGAGACCAGACATGACTTATATATAAAATATTGATGATATTGGGGATCCGTTAAATGTTTAAGGTTCTAGAGACACCTAAAATGATTGATAAAGCAAATTTCAAATCATGAAAAGTTACAAAATTAAAATCATATTTTAACAGTAGAAAACCTAAAATAAAACAGTAGATTGTATAGTAATAAAAGGTAAGTCTAAAAATATTCAATTAAAAGTAGGCATGAACCAAACTTGTAAATTTTTAAAGCCTTTTAACAAAAAGGCACTTTTTTAAGTCAAAGACTTGCTTTTATTCCTTGAATTGAAGTTTGAGGTAATATTTTTGACGTTTTGAGTCTAATGGTTAAAAATCTAGCAGCAATTTTTCAAATAGAAGTAGTTGCTCTTAAAAATTTAACAGTTAAAACCTCTTTGAAAACTTATATCCAGTTTAAATTAGTTATATATCCCTATGTAACGCGTTCAGAATTTAAGATTTTTGCTATACCGCCATCTTGCGGTACGGCAAAAATCTTAAATCAAAAATCTGGTTTAGCTTTTTAAGTCACGCATCTAGTTATATTTATACGTCATTGGTAATAATATTATTACAGATAAGTTATATAATTTATAAGTTTTATAATTTATAAATCAGACCTTGATAAAATAACTTTTTATTTGACTTAGACCTCGATAACATATTTTTACAATGGTTAACTTCATTTCAAAAAAATTGTGTGGAGATGATTCAGTTTATGTACATAGCTATTGAAGATGATAAGATTAAAAAATGTAAGTTCTTTAGTATATAAACTTATTGTTTAAAAGTTTTTGTTTTCATGTAATTTCGTAAAGTTGAATAATCTTTTTTATTACCTTTAGTAATTAGCACTTTAGCAACATCCGAGTTGGCTGTTTCATACGTTAATGTGATTGCTCTACCTAATGATGCTATTGCTGTCATTAATGCAAGATGGCGACAGACTAGTAAATAAAAACAATGCATTTATAAATGTTATGATTGGTTTTTTAAGTCAATCGTCATTATTGATAATAACAATGTTTAAAAATAACTTTTTGAACTTAAGTGTTATTTCAATCTTAGCTAAAACAAGTATGAAAGTTATAAAAAGAAATGAGTATAAAACCATGGCCGTCCTGAACAGATCTTAAAGAGGGGGGGAGGACACTATCTGTTTTTTGCTGAGTAAGGGGTTGTCAATAAAGTAGGTCATTGGCTCAAAGGGTTGTCAATAAAGTAGGTCATAGTCTTCAAAAAGCGTACGAAAGCGTATTGGGGGGAAGGGTTCAATTTAAAAGTACGTACATCGATTTTCTAATTTATCTCAATTAACCAGCTAATCCATAGAAAAGTTAAAATTCTGACTAAAGATCCTAGTTTGCCAACATAAAAAGATGTTTTGTGTAGGGTATAGTTTCTTTCAATGCACACACATGCATAAGGGGCCCGCAGGACTTTTTGATGTTCCAGATAGGACATTTTCATACATTGTGCAAACTCTAAACTTAAGTATGTTTATACCTATGCCAAATGAGAAGGCTTTGCAAAAAATTAAGAATGCGGAGGCCTTTTTGCATGGTCATAACATTTATTACTTACAATATTTTTCTACGAAATTTAAAATCTGTTGGTTAATTTAAATTTATTTTTAGATGGTAAAGTTGAAATTACAAGATTAGTGCCCTCACGTTTACCTATGCCCTCACAAGTATACCTATGCCAAATGCGTGAAAGTGTCTTATCTAGAAAATCAAAAAATCCTGCGGGCATACATGCCACTCTTTATATACTGGCCCTGAGTGCCAGTATATAAAGAGTGGCATGTAATAAATTAGAATAAATTAGTGCCCTCACGTTTACCTATGTCCTCACAAGTATACCTATGCCAAATGCGTGAAAGTGTCTTATCTAGAAAATCAAAAAATCCTGCGGGCATACATGCCACTCTTTATATACTGGCCCTGAGTAAGGCGTTTTTCAGGCAACCTATATTTTGAGTCAACAAAAAACAGGTAGTAGTAGTGCCGTGGCGAATGGGTCGGCGACCCCCCCCCCCCCCCCATCAAAAAAAAAATAAAAAACGTGTCATTTAGGTCTCTAAATCTCTCTTTTACCCCTAGTTTTTGCTAAAGTAAAAAACTCCTTAAATTAGTAAAAGGGCACAAAATTTTCTGCCCTCTTTCCTCTCCCTAATTTATACAAATAAAATCAAAAAATAAAACAATTAAGCTATAAAAATAAAAAAACAAGATATAATAACTAAGTTAAAAAAAATGAGTAACTTAAAAAAAACAGAACATTCTATTCATTACACTTTTTTTTCTAACGTGGTTCTCTTTTAAGGCAGCTGGCAAACCTGACAAAAAAACATCAGATAATTTATAATTTTTTGTATAGAGTAAACCCGAATTGTTAAGCCTGCTATTGGTTTGTATGTATATATATATATATATATATATATATATATATATATATATATATATATATATATATATATATATATATATATATATATATATATATATATATATATATATAATTCGACTTTACCCGAATATCATGAATGAAATTAATTTATAATTGAGAACACCAATCCTTATTAAGATAATAATACGGTGGCAGGTATGACTTTTGTAGAACTTTTCAAACTATATCTTCACTTGTTCTAAAAAAGTACGTCCATTAATACAGTGTTCAGCATTCCCATTCAATCAACTACAGATGCTTTTAAACAACGAAATTACTTTTGTAAAAACAGTTGATAAAGTAATCCCATTTGTTTTCGAAATGGACGCATCTTATTTTTCGTTTGCTGCAACATTAAACCAAAATAAACAGCAAGTAGACTTCTCAAAATCTATAAGCAAACCGTAAATACACCAACCAACTATTTAAAAAAAGCCATATGTGATTGTATACCTCTTCGGAAGTAAAAACATTATTTCACTGGACGTCATTTTACCTTGGTAACCAATAATTTGTTTCGTCTGCAACGCTACACGAGAGATTCTAAAAATAATAAAAATTGTTAATATTTAAGGTATTTGCTTAAAATTTGGTGCTCCAAAAAGATCTAACGGTCTTACCACAGAAGATAATCCTGCAGTTAAGCGACCTAAATTAATTTATTTCCTTTGATTATTGCACCTTATTATCTTGTCCGAAGACATTTTTGAATACTTATTTGGTTCAGTTCATATATCGACTATCTTATAGCCTACTGCCACAAGGGAGTACCGCTTCATCAACTAAGGGTTTGGCGTGGAGGCCAACAATCTTAAAAAGTCTCCACTAACGAGAACGCAATTAGCAAAAAAATTATTTTAGGCCACTTAACAGTCGGATTACCCCGCAGAATATGCTTGAATTTTGACAAATTAAGAGTTAGAAAAGGCCAACATACCATACACAATATACCTAAAATAAGCATTTTTTTTTTCACAGAGCACCGCTAAAGAACATTTATTAGGAAGTTTATGCTTCTCTACTCACCGATATTGCATGTGTAGCCAGTACCAGAGTTTGGAAATTATTTAATGATAAATGAATTTGTAGACTAATTTAATTTATCACTCGACCGTACTTGCATTTAACTAATATATGGTATTAATAATCTTAGCAACCGTTCAAATTTAAATAAATGTTGAGTTTTAAAGAGAATTTTTGAATTTATGCAAGCTTTCTTTTGATCTTTTTTTTTTTTTTTTTTTTTAATTTTTAAACGAAGAAATAAAATTTAGGAAAAAAATGATGCAAATATCTTTTTTTGTCTATTGAAGAAAAAACAAATGAATAATTACAGTATGCAATAGGGAAAACAATTGTTCAAAGAAGTTTAGTGGATTTATTGTATAGTTATAATAAATTACAAATTAATTTATTATTATAGGATTCTACAAAGTATAAATTCAAATTGTATAACCATATGATATGGAGCTGTTTATCGTAGTACTTATATCAAGCGCATTTGTGCAACGTTTTAATATAAAGGTGTTTGTCGCACCATTTTTATTTTGATGTTTTTTATCGCATCATTTTAATTCGGAGCTGTTTGTTGCTTTATTTCAGTTCAATGCTATTTTTTGCTCAATTTTAACATTGGAGTTGTTTATCACACAATTTCAATTCGGAGCTTTTTTTCTTATCATTCAAATCTTCATTTATTTATTTTTAAAAACATTTTTACAAACAAAAAACATTAAAACAGTTTTTCAAACATTTGCAAAGTTTTTTATAAGACTTTAAAATCTTTAATAGCAAAACAAAACTTGTCGTTTTATTTAAATTGTTCTATTTTAGCAATATTTGCATTTTTAATTATTTTTTACAAACAGATTGTTGGCTTTTTTATTTGTAGTTTCATATTATTTGAAACCCCTTGTTCTATTTTTTGAATACTTTGATATCAATTAAGTTATGATCAATTTAAGGTATTGGTTGTATCAAACATCTGCTTTGTTAAAGTCAATAAACCCAATACTAAAAAAAGGTATAATAAATATTCATTTTTTTGACTCCAACACCACTCTGCATCTCTGCTGCTTAGTTTTTTTGACTCAAACGCCATTCTGCATCTCTGCTGCTTAGTTTGTTTGACGCCAACGCCACTCTGCATCTCTGCTGTTTAGTTTGTTTGAGGTTTTTTTCTAATAAACGTTAGATGAGTGCTCGCATTTTTTTAGCAGAAACAACCGTAACGAGGTCTGGCAAGTTAAAACAAGCTTCATACCTAAATATAGTTTTTGTAATCAGTAGGGGGAGAGGAATTTTAGATGTTTAATAAATAAATGTTTAAAGTTTGCTAAATGTCTGGAAGTTAGGCATCTCAAACACCGAAATACAGTTCATTCGTCTCTGGCATATGCGTGCGAGTGCGTGCGCATGTGTGTGTGCATACAAAATATGTGGGTGATTTCCACACCTACTGTGAGCTTAAAAAAGTTATTATGTTTTGTTAGATTACTAAAAAACTAGAAAAATGTGGTATATAAATAATTGAAGCAACAAGTTTAACATTTTAAGGTTTTATTTAAAATTACTCTTAAATATAGTTAATTTTTATAGTACTTTCATTCTAAATTTTAAAACACAGTTTTGTAGTTATATCGAGTGTCCATACTTTTTGTATACTTTATGGTTTCCACACTTTTTGTATGCTTTAGTCTTATCGTGTTTCCACACTTTTTGTATAGGGTTTTTATGACACTTATTGTGTCAAAAAATTTACAAAATTTTTTGACACAATAAGTTAAAATAATAAAAAACTTTGTGTGTGCGTGTGTGTGGTGATTATAGAGCAGAGCATTTATTTAGAAAGTTCATTTGTTCAAATGTGATTAAACATCGGACCTCTTGGATCCAGAACTCTAATTATTGCGCTACACTTGCTCTTACTTGAATCAATGCACGACTCTATAAAGTTATGTGAATAGAGTTTGATCAAGTCAAACTTGGAGGTTTAATTAAACCAGTAAACTAAACCCGTGAATAACTTTTTGCAGTCAACGCTATTATTAGCATTAAATATTCCATTTTTTTGTTAACTGCAATTGCGGGAGTTGTAAACCACTTTGGTATTATATTAATGACCTCAGAAAGATTGATTATGAATGAATTTAATGTCTCAGATATATTTTATTATTTATTTTATCTTTGTGCGGCCAATGGGCCTATATCAAAAAAAGATTTTATCCTTTCATTTTATTTCGTTTTTAGAGCAAAACAAGTTTAATGGTAGAGTATGACGAATCACTATCGTAAAAAAAAAAAATTTAATACATATATATATAAAGTATATATTTTTGTTAAAAACTAAAAACCACTTTCATTTATGTAAAAATGTGTGTAGAAGTATTTAAATATTAAGCTTTTTTTTTTATCCAAAATGATTGAGTTTTCAAAAAAAAATCAGAAATTAGAATTTCATAAACCATTCTTTTGTGGCTTTTCTGTTACTCCTTGTGTGGTTTTGTTTAAATATTTATCCCATTTTTAAGATAACGACTTTGGAATGCATTAAATCAGTTTTTTCTAGGACGATTTGTTTGCGTCGTGTCTTTATTAAAGTTTTAAGTTACTTTTAAGTACTTTGAAATGCTTGTAGAAATGCTCTATGAAGCATTCTACAAGCATTGCTATAACTGAAAACAATTTTTTTTTTTTTTTTGAATTTTTTTTTTTTTGCGTATAGTTTATTTTGCTATTAAAGTATGTTTACATTGCATGTACATACATATAAATTAATGGCTGTAGCTAGTAGAAAGCACACTAGTAGAAGCAAAGTGTTATGGAAAATGATTTATTATATACAAAATATTTTGGAGACCGATGCCAATAGGAGGTAAAACCCATTAGTGGCCGCCTCCAGAAGAAATTTTGGGGGCAAAATGATTTCGAGGCTGCCTCTAATGGCTTCTGCTTTCCAACTGCCTGTGGGTGTCAAATTGAAAGCGGAAATACTTGTCTTCCTTGTTTTTAAGTTAACGAGCAATTTGAATAAGTAAATGTTCATTAAAAAAGTATATTAAATAAGTAAATGTTCATTAAATGTTCATTAAAGCAAATGTTCATTAAAAATTTGCGACCTCGTTATATTTCGCTGATAGGTTTGATAAATTACAACACAAGCAACAACAACTCACAACCTTTAAAACATTAAAAGTATTTTTTTAACGTTTAAAATTTAAAACAATTTAAAAATTTAAAATGTTAAAAAGTTTAAAAAGTTAAAAAGTTTAATAATTGTAAACACGGTATACTAACGTTTATGTAACATTAAAATTAATTATCTTAATGCTTAAAATTCTCTTTATATTTGTGTGTGTACAGGGCCGGCGCGAATAGGTTTCACGTGGAGAGGGAGGGGGGACTAGTCTAAAAGTTCAACATTTGCCGACTGACTGGTTTAAAAGGGTCAAATCTGCTGATTAAATGAACAAAAAATTCATTGATAGAGGGTAACAATTAATTTTTCTTTTTAATGGTTCAGTTAAATTTTTTTTTTTGGTTTATAAAATCTAGTTTTGAGAATTGTAGTAAAATTTTTGTTTTATAAGTTTATTAAAAAAATAATAAATAGCTTTGGTGCGTCCTAGTAAACGTCACCTAGACAAGAGTCTAGGTGAGGTTTACTAAGAAAGTCTCGCGTTCTGATTTTTATTTTGAAAAAATCATTATTTATTAGTAGGTACCTTTGTTGAAAGTAAGGTGGTCAGAAAAAAAAATTAATTATTTAACTCATTTTTCTATTAACACGTCATGTTTCTAAATTTTCAAAATCTTTATTGTTCAGTTATTTTTGGATCTGGAAATAAATCTAAGCAAAACTATTTGACATTTTGCAAAAACCTTAGTATTACATTTTTTATACAACATTATTTGACATTTTGCAAAAAACTATAGTATAACATTTTTTATAAAAGACTGAAAAAAATAGTTATTATATTAATAAGCAGTTCTTAGAAGTTATAACAGAAAATTTGAAAAGTAATATGAATGAGTCGAATGGAACTTGCTACGAACCTAATACAACAAAAAATTCTCATCAAGTTGAATTTTTATTTTTAGTTATAAATACACTACTGTGTGTGATAGGACTTGGAACTAATTTATTTATAGGAATTGCGTTTTACAAAAATCGTGCGGCCTTAAAAACTCCATCCAATCGACTAGTGTTTAGTCTATTGATTAGCGATACTTTATCTGGTATAAATGTTATGGCGCAGATCACAATATCTTTAAAATTTAAACATATTATTGTTGTAAGGATATTTGATGACATCATAACAGCTTTTTTAGCTTACAATGTTGTTTTGCATTTATGTGGCATTACTTTAGATAGGTTTATTGCTGTGTATTTTGCATTGAAATATAAAAAAATTGTAACATTAACATTTATTACAAGGTACATAAAAGTAGCTTGGTTATTATCAATTTTTGCTTCAGGAATACAACTCGTATGGGTTTATGCAGATTTGAAAAATGAAAAAGGTTTTTATGGAAGGAGTGATGAAGAACGTATCAAAATAACAAATATAGAGAAATGGTACAGCTTTGCAATTCTTTTGATTTTTTTACTATTCCCTATGATGTTTTTAGGGTTAGCATTAAGTGCTATGTTTTATGAAATACGGAAAATACTCTTAAAAACAAAACTTCTGATAATTGAGAAACCTTGCTGTGTAAAAACAAAACAATTAAGAGTTATCTACATGTTTACTTGCATGTATGTTTGTTTCTTTATTTTTGCAATGCCATATTTCACAATAAGAATGGTGGAAGATTTTCAAATATGGTGTGCAAGTCAAGTTATATTGCAAATTGTTTACACATTGAAAAGTACACCTCACTTTGTAAACTCTATTTTGTATTCGTTTTTTAACAAGAAGATGAAAAACAATTTAAAATATTTGATTAAAGCTTGTTTGAAAAAAGCAATTTGTTCAAAAGAAGATTTACAAAAAACTAATTCTCTTATTTACTGAAAGTTGATAGAATCACGTGACAAATTTGAATGTATTTTATTTTTAATTATTTGTTGTAGCTTGGGGCTTAATGATAAGACTTTGGGGCTTAATGATAAGACTTTGGGGCTTAATGATAAGACTTGGGGCTTAATGATAAGACTAAATTTGTCTTCTTCTAGCCCCGGTCATGTGATTATTTTTTTTATAAGTTACGACTGTAAATTTTTTTTTTATCGGCAAAAATGTAAATAAAAAATTAAAAAAAGTAGGGGTAATAAAAAATATTATTCAATCACATTCAGTTTTTTCATTTTATGATGGACAGTGGTTGAATAGAAAGTCTGTCAAATAAGATGTGGTTGTCGTATCAAAAAACATATATACATTTCACCACCTCAATTGATATTTACACAGTCTGAGTTTGCATATAAGATGTAGCAGACTTTACGATCTGTTTTTAGATATCACAATCGTGACATATCAAAACAGCTCCAAGAATGTAAAGATTTGTCTTTGGAATTTTAATTTCTACAGTATAATAAAGTATTAAAATCCAAAATTAAAATTAAAAAAAAAATTGATCAAGTCTCGCATCCTTAACAGTTTTATCTATTTGTCGTTAACCGTCAAAAATGGGTATTTTTATATGGTTTTAAAATGGGTGACGTAAAATGGGTTTTAAAATCCTTCAAAGAATTTACTCCGCTTCTTGCGTATGATATAAAATCAGAGATTGCTAAAAGACTGCTTTTGCAGCTTTTCGTTCAGGAAAGCAACATTATAACACCCTCATAATTTCATTGTTAATTTGTGTTCAATTTATTAGCTTTTAATGTCAAATATTATTCTTACAATCATCATTCCAAAATCAAATATCATTCTTATGTCATTAATAATGTATTTTCAATGGAAAGATGTGTAAAATGATTAAACGGTTCTTTTATTAAGTTATTTTTTATTAAATAAAAGCCGGTCCTTTTATGCTTTACCGCTTATTTTTAATTAATTTTAGTTTTTTTTTTAAGAGTCACCTTGTTAACACGTGTATATATATACTGGCGTGTAAATACAACATGAAAGTTGTTAGGCACACAATGGCTCAGAAAATTGAAAAAATGTCCAAATTTTGAAAATATGTTTTTATTATAAAAAATTATTCAATATATATATATATATATATATATATATATATATATATATATAGTAGCGGATTAAGACTTCTTGGGGCCCGGGGCTATTTTTGTTTTTGGAGGCTTTTTTTATGGGCCAGAGCCTAAAATTTTTGGAGGCCCCTAAATTTGCGGGGCCCGGGGCTATAGCCCCCCTTGATCCAGCACTGTATATATATACACTGGCGTAGGAACAAGGGACGGAGGGGGCGATAACCTTCTCAACTAAAACACTAGGGGGGGGGGGGGGGGAAGGGGACACTGCATTTAGCCCCGCCACTTCCTAAACAGTTTTAAAAAAACTTTTATAATAGCAACAGCGGAATTATTATTTTCCAGTCTGCAATGACTCAATCACAATTAAACTATATAGTGGCGTATATACATATATACCTATGCATATATATATATGTATATATATATATATATATATATATATATATATACATATATATATATATATATATATATATATATATATATATATATATATGTATATATATATATATATATATATATATATATATATATATATATATATATATATATATATATATATATATATATATATATATATATATATATATATATATATATATATATACTAGGTATATATACCTAGTGGTACCAATTGAAGTGCGAAATTTTAATTCAGTAAAAAAATTTAAGAGAACATGTTTTTAATGCAAGAACAAATGTAATATATACATATTATATGCATTTTATGTTTTAGTTAAAATGCTAAAGTACACATTAATAAAGAGAGTCCTCGAAATAACCCCCTTTTGCCCGTATGGACGTCTCCAGTCTTGGACGCCATTCCTCGATTGATTTACGCACGGTATCCATGGATAAAGCATCCCATTCTCTGAGAAGTGATCGCTTGAGGGCATCAACAGAAGTGTGAGGTTTGCAGCACACCTTCGCCTCCAGTTTAGACCAGATTGCATAATCCAATGAATTAAGATCTGGTGTTACTGATATATATCTAATACGGTTTTCTCTTCCCGTCTAATAATGCTATAACTGCACACCCCTTTCCTTCCATACTATCCATTATGAAAAAATCTACAAATAAACGCACAAATAAATTAATAAATTCCAGGAATCTATTCAAATAATACAAATAAATGCGGGATCTATATAAAAAGCACATGCCTGTTAACATGACAAGTTTAAACAAACTTCACACTTCAATTGGTACTACAGGGTATATATATATATATATATATATTATATATATATATATATATATATATATATATATATATATACAGTATTGGACAAAACATTTTCAACCAACATCGAACAATGCTAAAAAGTGTTCCTAGTTTTACATGTCTTAAAAACGAAACGAACTATACTACCAATGCAAACAGTTTAGGAGTCTGGAGTCATAGCATGCCATGACATGAGCAATCAGCTGACAGGTGACAGCACACAGGCAGAATTTCGTTGACAAGTGCCATTTTGCAGCAGACAAAATAAGTGCAACTTTTTCGGTTTGTTTCATTTTCTGAAGTCTGGTCCGTGTTAACGTCATGGAAGTTTTTTAATAATTAAAGAAAGTATCCAGAAGTTTTTAGAAGTTTCCAGAAGCATGCAGAACCTTCCAGAAGAAGCATCTAGTTGGCAGCTGATAACAAAGGTCGGAAGACCGCGTTGCATCACTTCTAGAGGGGATTCTATAATCGTCAGATCCGTCAAGAAAGATCCCTTGATATCATCAATCGAGATACAAAAATAATTAGAGCTGCTTGTATCGGACCGAATAATCAGACAACGTGCTGTTGAAGCCGTATTGTTTTCTCAACGTCCTGCAAAGAAACCGCTGATTTCACTAAAGAACCAGAAGAAATGACTCCTGTTTGCTACATCTCATATTGACTGAAATGTGCAGAAATGGCGAACTGTCCTGTTTAGTGATGAACCGAAGTTCAACATCATTGGGAGCGATGGCCTTTGTCGTATACGTCGACCGGCCGGAACACGCCTCGATTTATGTTACTGCCATATGACCGTGAAGCATGGTGGAGGAAATATAATGGTCTGGGGGTGTTTTTCTGCTAACGGTCTAGGTCGAATTGATTGAGCAATGGACCGTTTCATGTATAAAAATATCCTGAAAGATGTTATGTTACCTCATACTAAATGAAATATGCCAATAAAATGGGTTTTTCAGCAAGACAACAATATGAAACACACTGCAAAAGTAGTCAAGCAGTGGTTTCAAGACAACCATCTATCGGTGATGGATTGGCTGCCTCAATCTCCGGATCTCAACCCTATCGAGAACCTGTGGGAGATCGTCAACCGCAGAATTAATCGTAAAGGTGTTTGTAAAAAAAAGATCAACTGTTTGAACAAATCCAAAAGGCCTGGGCAGTGATTCCACAAAGTTTCATTGATCACCTGATCGAATATATGCCTCGATGATGCAAGGCTGTGATCGACAATAAAGGATTCGCCACGAAATATTGATAGCGAAATACAGCTTGGTTAACATTTTGTGGAGTTGCACTTGTTTTGTCCAGAAAGAAATCAACTTTTTTTAATACTTTTGATTAATTTATTAATTTTCGTGTACAAGTAATGAACTTTGTGATGAATAAAACTTGAAGAACGTTGTCTCTAAACAGTTACATAGTTATTTTTCTAAATTGAAAAAATGCAGCACTTTTAAATAAAGAAACTAAATTAGCATTATTTGGTTGCACTTATTTTGTCCGATACTCTATATATATATATATATATATATATATATATATATATATATATATATATATATATATATATATATATATATATATATATATATATATATATATATATATATATATATATATATATATATATATATAATTCTTAAAAATAAAAAACCTTAAATCTACGTGTGACTGTCAATCTAAAACCATACATTTGAAAAAACAAAATTTAAAAATGAGTAATACTGATAAGTTAACAAGTAGGCTAAAACAAGAAACTTGGAACAACGTATATAAATGTCAAGATACTAATAGTACAAAAATGTACTTAAAATAGCTTACAGTCTTTTTTAAGTACATTTTCGGAGTATTTTAACGAAACCTGTCCGCAAGAGATTATAAAAAGTCAAAAGCTCTGGCTAATCCGTGGATGGATAAATCATTATTAAAGTGCTCAAAAAAAAAGCAAAAACTTTACAATAAATTTCTGAAAAATAAAAACAATAATAATGAAAATTTTTTTTATCAAGATCTCATTAAAAATGCCAAAAAAAAATATTACAGTAATCAAATTAACAAATGTAAATTTGTAATCTTAATGTAACCTTAATGTAACCTTGTAACCTTAATGTAATAATGGGAAGAGAAAAACTAAATTCACTTTCACTACCTAAACGAATAGTTATTGAAAACAACGATATATTTGTCAAAAACTCATCCCGGATGGGGTTTTGTCAAAAACTCATCAACGATATATTTTATCAAAAACTCATCAATAAATATTTTATTAGTATTGGTCCGAACCTTATCAAAAAAATAATACCAACACCTGAATCTTTTAAAATTTTAAACCCACGAATAACGTTATAATGCATGATTACGAATTAATCTATGAAGAATTTGAGGCAGCTTTTACCTCTTTAAAAAAAAAACACCAGGATTTGATGAGATACCTAGTGATATAATTATTGCAAATAAACAGTCTTAATAGACCTCTGACACATATACTAAAGCTCTCGTTAAATTTTGGGATTTTTCCGGATGTACTTAAATTAGCAAAAGTAACTCCTTTATACAAATGTAACGATCATTCTGACATTACAAACTACAGACCCATATCAATACTTTCTGTATTTTCAAAACTCTTCGAACGTGTAGTTTATAATAGAATCTATTACTTTATTAAAAAACAACTTTTTTTACCCAAATCAGTTTGGCTTTCAAAAAAATCTTTCAACTAAGCATGCAATTAT